ATTCTCATTCTCATTCTCATTCTCATTCTCATTCTCATTCTCATTCTCATTCTCATTCTCATTCTCATTCTCATTCTCATTCTCATTCTCATTCTCATTCTCATTCTCATTCTCATTCTCATTCTCATTCTCATTCTCATTCTCATTCTCATTCTCATTCTCATTCTCATTCTCATTCTCATTCTCATTCTCATTCTCAGTCTCATTATCATTCTCATACCCATACTCATACCCATACTCATACCCATACTCATTATCATTCCCATACTTATCACTGAATCATTCTCATTCTCAAGTCACTTTAACTCATTCGCATACACTTAGACCCATACTCAACTCTAGATGCCACCCATTACCGGTGTCTCACACAATTCACATAACATTCATATTCTTAAACACCAAAGACAAGAGACATCTCATTCACATTCATCTATCTTTCACTTTAGAAAACTATTGGAAGATTACTTTACATTCGTCATTCATAACAACTGTTACCAAATAACATATCTATCATCTTAAGCATACACTTCTTTCTAACCTAGCTTTCATTCATAATCATCACATGGGACACAAATCATTCACACAATCATTCTCCATCAATCATGTGGGAACCGAAATCCACACTGTCGATTTTCCGTCAAATATGGAAACTTAGGATGAAACCCTAATTTTCCCGAGGTCCTGGATCTCTGCGGAAATCACTAAAACAAACGAATTTAACAGAATATGGATGAACAAAGAAGAACAAAGAATAAAGAACTTGTATGAAAGCTTTTATTAAATAAGAAATCGACAACTGTTACAAGAAGAATTGAAGAACTTAGACGTCGAAACGTTCTAAGGATCTGGATTGCTAGTCTAAACGCTAAGTCCTAAATTCCTAAGCTAACAGCCGTCTTTTTAGGTCTGATTTTCTCGTCCTCCTCCTCTTCCCTATGCTTCTGGCTTATATACTCCTTTCCCAAGCGGCTCAATCTTTCCATTTTGCCCGGATTCGAGTTTATCGGGAAACTTCCTTTTATCTCCATCCTTCCTTTCTTCCCGCGGAAATCTTCTATTTATCTTCAAACTTGCCTTTTATTTCCCTTCTGCGAGTAAACCGTCAAAACGTTATCGTATCTCCGGGTTTGATTTCGTTAATATCGCGAGATGGGTTTTTATCGTGTTTTAGGACCTTTCGGTCCGTTTTGCGATAAAAACCTTTTTACGATTTTATACGAGATCGTTTCCTGATCCGATGCCGTTTCTACGATTATCTCGACGTTTTTATTAAAAACGCTTTTTTATGATCTTATCGAAAAATCTCGGATAAATCATATAGTTTTGGCGATGTACGGTGTCTTGCTTAACCGTTACCGTTTTATACGATTTCTTCGAGTTCTTTCGAGAAAGAGGAGTTTTACAGTTTTTATTGTAAAACTCGAACGATAAGTCGGATCGAGACGAAATGAGAGACATTTTGGCCGTGGTTCAGAATGCGACAATGTCGAAGGGCGTAAGTTTCAAATCGGGATGCGGGAGATCTAGGCTTGGGATGGTCGGTTCAGCGTACGGAGAATCGGGACGGTCCGGTCCAGCTGTCCGAGGAGTTTCTAGTTTTCCTGCTAACGAACTAAGCCAGCTTGGCTTAGTTCGCCAGCAGGCGAACTAGTCGTGACTAGTTCGCGCTTTCCGGCGGTTTCGGTTTTTTGCAGTTTTATAAAACGATCTTCGAGTTTTATAAAACGATCTTCGAGTTTTATAAAACGGTTTCTCGAGTTTTATAAAACGATCCTTTAGTTTTATAAAACTGTCTTTGAGTTTTATAAAACGGCTTCTCGAGTTTTATAAAACAATCTTCGAGTTTTATAAAACGGCTTCTCGAGTTCTATAAAATGGCTTCTCGAGTTTTATAGAACGATCTTCGAGTTTTATAAAACGGCTTTTCGAGTTTTATAAAACGGCTTCTCGAGTTTTATAAAACGATCTTCGAGTTTTATAAAACGATTCTCGAGTTTTATAAAACGATTCTCGAGTTTTATAAAACGATTCTCGAGTTTTATAAAACGATTTTTGCGGAAAGTAATGATTCCATTTTTACAGAAGTTATCGTAGACGTTGATTTCGAGATTACGGTTTTCGACACCAACAGTTAGCCCCCCAGTCCGCAATTTCTTGAGGAAATTTTGCGGGCGGATGGAGTTAGCTTTTAATCGGAATCTACGGCTGAGATTTGTCTCATTACGAGGGAGAGCTCTCTTTTTTCTGTAAGTATTGGATCATTACTTCTCATATCTTCCACCTCTCAAGTTTCTCTCCAACTTCTCACTAGAAACATTTTCAAGATGTCTTCTTCCCAAGGTGATCAACAAAACTGTGAGGTCCCATCCAGTGACAATCCTACGGCTCATCCGCAGGATGCTCGGATTTCCGAGTTTCCCTTGTTTCAAGACGAGATGGACCGTAACGATGCTGAGGAAGACGCTGTGTTAAGCGACGTACCCCCGGTAGATCCATCCGTCCTTGC